AGTGTTGCTGTGCGCCGCGGCGTAGCTGTGGCGGGTTCCACTTGTATAAAAAAAAAAAAAAACAATACGAAACAAAACGACAATTTATGAAGAAAAAAAAATGAAAAAAACAAAAATTATATGAAACAAAAAATAAAAAAGGGGGCCGCACACAAACCGACACGGAAAGGCTATCGACGGAGGGTGCGTCGAGATATTCATCCGCATCGATGCCCGCCGTGCACCCGGCCCTATGGGCGCGGTTTCGCGTTTAGTGGCGCGCTGTGAACAATTCGGTACGCGCGCCACTCTGCACGCCCACCCCGCGTCGATCGCCTTCATCCGCTGACCCGCGCCGAAACTTCGACCCCAAATCCGGCGCGCAGCGGACCATCGACCTCCCCCCCGCGGCCAAAGAATAAAATAAAATAAAAAAATAGATCGGAGAAAAAGAAAAAAGAAAAAAAAGAAAAAGAAAGAAAGAAAAAGAAAGGTCCTCCGAGGCAAAGGGCCTCGCTCCACTACTCACCAAATGTGGAGACCGAGAATGCATCCTCCGCTAGAACAGGGGCAGATACACCTCCTTATATTTTGTCGTTTGTGCATGTGGAGAGTAGTGGAGCGACGCCCATCCGTTAAAATTCGATGGAAGGATACAGAGAAGGTAGATTAGCACATGGCCCGAGGCAAAGGACACGCATTAATCGAGCAATGGTCCAAACTGAGCATAGAATCGCCACAGCATTGAGGAAACGAATGACAATGCGAGCGCATCTGCAGAGGCTGGCAAGAAATATCCTTTCCTACGAATAGTACCGGATGAATATAGCTACATTCTGCGGGACCATACGCTCGCAATGCTTTTCGTTTCGCGAGGGGTGCGGCAAGGCCCCCCTGTCCTCCGCCGGAATATAGGCCTCGCCACACCACTCTCGAAATGTGAAAAAGACAAAAATGTGACGGGTGCATCTGACGATGTTCTGCAAGGAAGTTCATTCTCAATTTGGCACATTTCGGGAGTGGTGTGGCGATGCCCTGACTGATGGGAGGAAACACCGCCATATTTTTTGTCTGGCTGTTTTTCTTTTTTGTTAATTATTTGTTTTCTGCATGTGGTGAGTAGAGAAGTGAGGCCCGAAGATACAGCGTTATGTTTTCGTCTTGTGTGCATGTGCTGAGCGGTGGAGCAGCGCCCAGAGGCCAAGCGTCTCCCGCGAACACAACGCACCCTCATGAATGCATCCGGGCGATCATTGCGGCGCCATACAGTCATGACAAGGGCGCGTTGTATTCGGTTGAAGAGGGGAAGTTCAGCACTTCCTCAATCAATGTCCTTGAGAAAGAGGCAGTTCAATAAATAAGACTGAGAACCGCGGTATTCGCAAGATAAAAATGACATGAACAAACCCCGGTGAGGTGTCGTTTCGCATCGGGCGTCTGAGGAGAGAGGGGGCAGCGCCTGTGCAAGGGGAAGAAGGCGGGAGGAGAAGCGCAGCCGCATCGGTGGCGGGGCGCGGGGCGGGGGAGGAAGCGGCGGGAGCAGCAGCGGAAGCCGTGTGGTAAGCAGCCATGGGGCAGGAGGAAGAGCGTAAGGGCGGCATGCCCAAGGACTTCGTGCCTTCCAAGGGACTGACGAGCGAGGAGGCGAGCAACCTGCTTGCTATCCATGGCCGCAACGAGCTGGAAGAGAAGGTGACTCCCAGCTGGCTCATCTTCTTGCGGCAGCTGTACGCGCCTATGCCCATCCTGATTTGGATTGCTATTCTTGTCGAGCTGGCAATCAAGAACTGGCTGGACGCTGGCATCCTGCTGATAATTCAGCTGTGCAACGCGACCATCGGCTGGTACGAGACGACGAAGGCGGGAAATGCTGTGGCGGCGCTGAAGGCTTCGCTGAAGCCCCGAGCGACGGTGAAGAGGGATGGCAAGGTGCAAACGATCGACGCGTCGGTGCTGGTCCCGGGAGACCTTGTGCTGCTGGGCGCCGGTTCCGCAGTGCCCGCTGATTGCATCATCAACGAGGGAACCATCGACGTGGACACGTCGGCGCTCACGGGGGAGTCGATGCCAGAGACCAAGTGTGGAGGCGACGAGGCGCAGTGGGGATCGACTTGCGTGCAAGGGGAGGTGGAGGCCACCGTGATCGGGACGGGTAAGAACACGTTTTTTGGAAGGACGGCGGCGCTGCTCACGGAGACGAACGAGCTCGGCAATATCCAGAAGATCATCCTGAAGATCACGGCGGGTCTCGTCGTCATCTCCATCACCCTCTGCGCCATCGCCCTCGTGTACCTGCTGAAGGGTCGTGATCAGGACTTCATCGAGGCGTTGAGGTTCGTTGTGGTGCTCATGGTGGCATCGGTGCCGCTGGCAATCGAGATTGTGACGACCTGTACGCTGGCCGTCGGATCGAGGAATCTTTCGGGCATGAATGCGATTGTGACCAGACTGGTGGCGATCGAAGAGATGGCGGGAATGAACGTGCTGTGCAGCGACAAGACGGGGACGCTGACTCTGAACAAGATGGTTATTCAGGAGGAGACGCCAATCTTCATGAAGGGAGAGTCGAGGGAGACCGTGATCCGAGCGGCAGCTCTGGCGGCGAAGTGGAAGGAGCCGCCGAAGGACGCTCTCGACACCATGGTCCTGGGCACGGCGGACCTGCACTCGCTGGACGTCTATCAGCAGCTCGACTACATGCCGTTCAATCCGAAGGTCAAGAGGACGGAAGCCACCCTGAGAGGTCCGGATGGCAAGGTGTTCAGGACCACCAAAGGAGCGCCGCACATCATTCTCGACCTGTGCGAGAACAAGAACGAGATCTCCAACGAGGTCAACGCCCGGGTCAACCAGTTCGGTCTGAGGGGGATCCGCTGCTTGGCGGTGGCGAAGGCGGAAGAAGGGGAGGGATGGCGGTTGATGGGCGTGCTCACTTTCTTGGACCCGCCCCGACCTGACACCAAGGACACCATTGAGCGCGCGCAGAAGTTTGGCGTCGTCGTGAAGATGGTCACGGGCGATCAGGTGGTCATCGCGTTGGAAACGGCGCGGTCGCTCGGCTTGGGAACCAGCATCCGAGGTGTGCAAGGGCTGCCCAGTCTGGGAGAGGACAACAAGGTGCCCAAGGATCTCGGTAAGAACTATGGGCCCATGATCCTCGATTGCGACGGGTTTGCGCAGGTCTTCCCCGAACACAAGTACCTCATCGTCGAGGCTCTGCGGCAGATCGGCTGCTCTGTCGGTATGACCGGCGATGGCGTCAACGACGCGCCGGCGTTGAAAAGGGCGGACGTGGGAATTGCCGTGTCGGGGGCGACGGACGCCGCGCGCGCGGCTTCGGACATCGTCTTGACCTCGCCCGGTCTCTCTGTCGTCGTCGAGGCCATTATTGTGGCCAGGTGCATCTTCCAACGAGTCAAGTCCTTCATCAACTACAGAATAGCCGCCACGTTACAGCTGCTGTGCTTCTTCTTCATCGCTGTCTTCGCGTTCAATCCGAAGGATTATCAGCCGGACTTTTGCGGAAAAGAAACGGGTAAGTTTCGGAACTGCATCGACCGGGATATAAAGAAGATCGAGAAGGAGGATGGATGGCCGGAGTTTTTCCAGCTCCCGGTGCTGCTGCTCATGCTCATCACGCTGCTGAACGACGGCACGCTGATCACCATCGGGTACGATTACGTGATTCCGTCTCAGAACCCGGAGAAGTGGAACTTGAAGGTTTTGACTCTGGCCTCGGTGGTGCTGGCCGGCGTGGCGTGCTTCTCCTCGTTGATTCTGCTGTGGGCGGCTCTCGATTCCTGGAGGGTGGGTTCTCTCTTCGATAAAATGGGTCTGAAACCGATGGCTTACGGGCAGATCGTGACGATGATCTACCTGAAGGTGTCTCTGTCTGACTTTCTCACTCTCTTCAGCTCACGAACGCGCGGTTGGTTCTTCACCCAACGACCTGGCCTCCTCCTCTTCTGCGGCGCCTTCATCTCTCTCGGCATCTCCACCATCATCGCCTCCTGCTTCCCCAAAGTGGAGTTTGAACACATGCCCCTCGAGGGTCTCGCGAACCGCAGCGCGGAGTACAAGTTGTGGACAATCTGGGTCTGGCTCTATTGCGTTTTGTGGTGGTTTATTCAGGACGCGTGTAAGGTGGGGTCGTACTACTTCGTCATCAAGTACAACGTTTTTGGAGTCAACAAGGGTAGGGAGGTGTACGTGAAGACTCCGGGCAAGGAGGTGTTGGAACCGGTGGGCCAGGAAAACGAGGTAGTCACTGCGAGCTACAGCAGGGCGAGCGGCAAGGCCATGGCTAGGCAATTCAAGGAAGGAGTGGCGGCTGCCACTGCGGAGGACACCAGACTGGGAAGAGAGATTGGCGCCAAGTTCGAAGTCGGAGAGGACGGCCAGGAATACCTCTCTGTGTCTTATTCGAGGGAAGCGGGAGCTCGGATCGCGGCAGAGCTGAGGGCCGAGATGTTGAAGAAGGCGGATGCTGCGACGCCGCCGCCGCCGCGCAAGCACAAGTGAGCGGAGCTGCAGGCCCCCTGAAGAGAGTTGAGCAGCTGTGGCGCATGCGTGGTGTCGATGTCTGCCTCTTCCTCGGGCGGCTGCTGTGGACTGCGAGAGGCGGTGGTTCTTCTGCTGTACGCCGTCTCGTTTTATCATTTTTGTTTTCCTTTTCTTAAATTTAATTTGTTTGGGGGTATGTATCGGCGAAAAAGGGGGGGTAGTGAGTGGGGGAGACGAGACCTGTGGTGCTGATGAACACGGATACACGCGAGGGAGGAGGGAGAAGGGAGGAGATCGGTCGTTGATCTTGACACGATGGCATGCGTGATCTGGAGTAGGTATTGTTAATTGGCAAGTCAGGCGTGTCGCGCGTCTCGAGACGCTCTCTGATGTTCTATTCGGCGTAGAAAGATGAAAGCGACGAAGAAAGGAGAGGGAGGGAGTGGAGGCGATGAGACCTGTGGTGCTGCTGAAACGGATGCACGTGAGGGACGAGGGAGAAGGGAGGACGGCGGAGGAAATCAGTTGTTGGTTTTGACGCGATGGCGTACGTGATCTGGACTAGGTGCTAGTACTTCGTAAGTCGCGCGGGCAGCGCGTTTTGAGACGCTCTCTGTTGTTTCTACCCTGTGTGGAAGAGGTGAAAGCGGCGGGGGCGGATTCCCAGGCGGCCGGGCATGATGCGGAACGGGGATCGAGTCCAGCTGGAGGTTTTGAAGTTGGGAAGTATTGCTGTGGCATTGTTGTTGGTAGCAGCTCGCGTGGCTCTCTTGTCCGTCTAGTGCAGCAGCTGCTGCTCTTGTCTGCAACGAGGAAGGGAGGGAGGGTAGGGGGCGACAGGGACGGCATGGCATTTGCTGCGGTGAGCGCGGCTGTAGGAGTAGTCTGGAGCGAGTGCTCTTAGGATGTTGGCAGTGAGTGATTGATTCGTTTTGATTAATTTTTGATTAAGTGTGGGAGCCGGTGGCTGAAGGAGCAGAGGTGGGACGGTCTTATCTTTCTCTGCTAGGGAAGAGAACTCGGTGAACTTTCTCCTGCTGCGTCGATTGATTCGTTGTGATTAATTTTAAGTGTGGGAGCCGGTGGGTGAAGGAGCGGAGGTGGGACGGTTTTATCTTTCTCTGCTAGAGAACTCGGTGAACTTTCTCCTGCTGCGTCGAGAGTTTAGATTCCTTAAGTACGGTCTTCAGGACAGCATGTTGTCATCGGCATTCTACATGCGTGTTTTCCTCCCTGCCGGAAGGATTGACGAGTCTTGATGACCAGTTACTGTGTCTATGACACCGAGCCAAACGCTGGCGTAGTGTCCTTTATACTCGAACTAACGGCTATGTAATTACATGGAGGGGGTTAAATTACTGTTTATAGTATTTTAGTGTTAACTGTTTGTAGTTGTTAGTCTAGTGTTAATAGATATGTAAGTACCCGGACGGCGTTAAGTAAGGGGGTGAAGCTATTGGCTGGAGGGAGGGCATGAATTTAAGGGGATAAAGCTATTGGTGGAGGGAGGGGATGAAGCTATTCGAGTAGTCATAGAGGAGGCGGTTTTGACGGTGAATTAAGGTCGTGTTCAACGAGGATGTACTCCTCTGTCGTTGTCGTTGTCCGCTCTTCACGAAGGACAGGATGCACCGTATGATGACGATTTCATCTATCTTTGAATGTCTGTTGTTGTCGCCGTCGAGTCTAGTTCTTCATCATCAGGCTTTGACAGCTCGTGCGATTGCTTGCTTGTTCGGCGGATCGGTGCAGAGGGTGCGAGTGGGGTAGGCGGACACATGAAGAGGAAAATCGGCGGCCTTGCGTTCTTTTTTTTTTTTTTTTTTTTTTTTTATCTGCTTGCGGTGAACTTTATGTCGCCGGCCTTGTCTTTTCTTTGTTTCGTTTTTCCTTTTACATCTGCGTTGCGCTGATTGAAGTCGCGGGATGATTGTGTTGGCAGTATGATGCAGAAAATACACAATTGCACGAGATTTCTGTTTTTCTCCGCTTGAATAGCACGAAATTACACAGCTAAATTCTCATTGGCTTTAGGTAGTGGAAAATTTCCAAAAAGTCCGTAACCACTAGATTTTTGTTTTTTTTCCCCATGAATAATACAGATGTTGATAATGTTTTTTGTATCGAGTGGTTATGAGTGGAAGGGAGCGATTTGATGTGATGTCAGGTGACGTGCCTTGTGAAGCCGGTGGAAAGGAGCGAAAGACGGCACGGCGAACGAACTTGAGAGGCGCTGAAATGATCGAATCACCTCCTGCCGTGTGCCTTCGAGACCGGTGGAAAAAAACTACATCGATATACGAGGTGCTACTCGAGAGGGGCTTCTCCTGCCGTGTGCCTTCGAAAGCGGTGGAAACAAACTACTTTGACGGAATTAGCTGCTATTCGAGAGGGGCTTGTCTACCAAAATAGAACGATGCCTACTTCGACGGAATTAGCTGCTACTCGAGCGGTGAAGCGGGTTTATTGGAACGAAGACGGTACTGCGTGCTCTTCTTGAGAGGAGTTCACAATAGATAGTGGCCTTGTGGAGGCAGATTTAACGAACGAAAGGCTTGTCCTGCGTACTACTTGAGAGGCGCTGAATTCATCTCTCGCAGGGTGCCTATTGAGGCCGGTGAAAACGAACGACGACAGTACCGGGGCGACTGAGGCCGGTGAAAACGAACGACGACACGACAGTACTACGAACGATCTGTGGAGCTCACCAGTGGGAAGTGTAATAGCACGAGATTTTTGTTAATCTTCGCATGAATGATGCCAAATGGTGATATTTTTTTTCTATCTTGATTCTTGACGAGTTGAAGAGGCCGATTTGGTCTGATGTTGGGATGCTTTGTTAAGCCGGTGGAAACGAGCGACGACGGTAGTACGCACTACGTACGAGAGATAAGCTCATCTCCTTCCCGTGAGGACGGTGAGGCTGAGCTCTCATCTGTGGGAGGACCTCCCGTCCTGTTACCTCCCCTCCCCTTCCCTCCCCTCCCCTCCCCTCCCGTCCCCTCCCGCTGTAACTCTCTCACTTACCTGGCGTTTATCTCTATGTAGATATTATCGACTCAGGCAGCATAGATAGTAGGATATTTGACACCTAGAGTATGTTTTTAAGAGGATAGAAAGTTTAATAAGATGCTAATGGCTATAGAATGATGATCTTTTAGCATGTACAGCGACTGCTGCTGATGGCAGCAGCTGGTGCTGCCATCTACTGTGCTCGTGCTGCTGCTCTTCTGGTGCTTGAACCGTGCTTCCAATTAAAATTTACGGGTATCTTTGTTCCTTTTTTTCTTACTCTTTTTTCTTTTTATTTTCTTGTTCTTGCGAAAGCTTTGATAATTGCTCTTTTTTAGGTTTTCTTTTATCTACGGGCGTTGTGTTTCGAGCTCTTGCGGTGCACTACCTTCTCTTCCCCCGAATACGACGTACGGTACATTAAAGCTGTATTTGGGGTACCTTTCAGTCTAAATAGAGCTATAATGACCGTACGTCGTATTCGGGGGAAGAATGGTAGGGAGTCGATTCATTTTCTCCGTTGGCGTCGATTGTTCAGCTGCGTGTCGATCTGTATGCGTTGTCCTTTTCTTGAGATTCAAACGTTAAGGGATCAGCTGGTATTTGGTGGATCTGGGGTTGGTTCTAGTTGAGATCGAAATCCTTTAAAATTTCTTTTTGCTTTTTTAGTTGCGCAGGATGAGCAAGGTGATTTGTAATTAGTTTGTGGTTGTTTGTTGAAAGAAAACTCTTTTGTTGATTCGCCTTTTCCAGAAGAGGAGTGTAGGTGTGCGGTTTAATTCCATACTTGAGAGTCTATGTGCTGTCATCATCTGCTGAGCGACGGCGTGGTGCTGCCCTCTTCTTTGGGCCTGCAAGCCGCGTGGCATACGAAATGAAACTCGAAACATGTGCATCTCAACACAGAAAGCGCAGGGATTCATGCGTGTGCTATAAATAGTAACACGAAAGGATGCAGTTGGCCGACTTCAGTGGCCGGATGCACTTTCGGTTTTATTTCGCTCGGTTGAAACGGTTATGCCTGTCTGTCGTGTGTGAAGGCACGGATGTAATCGATGGCTCGAGGCCGGATGCACTTGGTCGACTTCTGTGGCGGGATGCACTTTGTGGTGAAACGGTAAGTGCGAACGTGTATAGGATGAAGGGTACGTCGATATCTCAGACAGCATCGGGTCTCAGGATCTGTCCTTACGCTTTGGGATCAACGAGACATTGGGCCTCGCTCCATTAACTTTTGACATGTGGAAAATGAGAGTGAATCTTGCGCTAGAACATGGAAAGATGCATCGCCATGCTTTGTCTTTTGTGCATGTCGAGAGTAGTGGCGGGAGGCCCTTCTTCGTGGGGGACAGGAGGCGTCGAGATCGATCGATGAGCATCATATTGGTATCTACAACCCTTGGTTCTTCTTTGATGAAACGGCTGTGTGGCTGTGTTGTTCGACTTTTTCATATTCTCCTAGTAGCAGTGGCATGCTGTGCGGCTGTGTTGTGCGACTTTCTCATATTCTCCTAGTGGTAGTGGCATGATGGCGCCAATGGTAGCAGCAAGTTAGGTGAATCGATGGAATCGTAAGTGGAGAGTTAGTGTGAGAGAGTGTGGATTGGACCGCCGAGATGGGTATCTGGTCGTGAAATGACAGTTTAGGGTTCTTACTTTGTGTATGTTTTTTTCGATCGGTCATCGGTTTGGATTTGGCCCTATTGCTGGCTCCTCTTTCTTTGCGTAAAGCATCTCGTTTTGATGGTGTATATATTCGCATGCTGAATGTTGTGCTTGCCGTACAGTATGGTTACTTCACTAGCAACTCGGTTTGTTGGACCTGAGAGAGTGGGAAGGGGTGTAGAAGAGGCGGGAAGTTCACGGAGGGTGATTAGGATCGAAGGTAGTTGACGCGTGTGTTCATTGGGCCTCTTTGTGTGTGTGTGTGAGCAACCGGACACTGTGTTCGTTGGGCCTCTGTGTGTGTGTGTGTGTGTGTGAGAGAGAGAGAGAGAGAGAAACAATTCGATAGAGGGTGATGAAGAGCATACCCTCGGACGGGAGTCTGCTTGTTGCGCCTGGGAGAGTGGAAAGGGGAGTAGAGGTCAGGAAATTCGCGGATGTGAGGACGAGCGGAGTTTGTCGAGGCGTTTGAGCGAGCAGGCAGATACTGTGTTCACTGGGCCTCTGTGTGTGTGTGTGTGTGTGTGTGAGAGAGAGAGAGAGAGAGAGAGAGAGAGAGAGAGAGAGAGAGAAAACCCTAGGAGATCTGTTACTGAGGGAACGGGGGGGGGGTTTCAGGATGGTGAATTATCGGAAAGAAAAAACAAAAAATTAATGCTACATGATGGCGCCAAGAAGCTTACCCAGGAAGATACATAGAGGCCAATGGGTTTGAACCCGAGACCTAACTGAGCGACATACTTCCCCCGAATACAACGTATGGTTATTATGGCTGTATTTGGACTGGAAGAGACCCCAAATTCAGCTATAATGACTGTACTTTGTATTCGGGGGAAGATGAAGGCCGCTGATCCGATTTGCTCTTCCCGATGCTAGAAATGGTAGCATGGCGTAGGTTCCCCTTTTTGCCCGCCCAGTGATTAGGAGACGGAACCTAGTTCCACCACTTTTCATCCACCAATATTTCATATCATCAACCTTGTCCCAATGCATTCAAAATGTTGATGGTTGGCGAGCAGTGCACCTAGGCCGCTCGATTGCTCTTGGGAGGATGACGTGGCACCTCTCTCCTCTCTCTCCCCTACACAATCCTACACCTATGGGCCTCGCTGCTCTACTCTCGAAATGTGCAAAACGAGAGTGAATCTTCCGCTAGAATATGGAAAGATACACGGCCATGATTTTTGTCTTTTGTGCATGTCGAGAGTAGTGCAGCGAGGCCCATAAACTGGCCGATTTCTGGACCACGCGCATTCGGACGAGTCGAGGATTTTGAACGTATCGAGTCCAGAACGCGTCCAAATGCATGTGGAGTGTTGTGTAGTGAGCGAGCATCCTCTGTGGTTTTGCGGAAGAGAAGTTGCGGTTGGCCCTGTGCCGACGGTCTGCGTCTCGTCTCGTCTCGTCTCTTTTTTTTCTTTTTTTCTTTTTTTCTTTTTTTTTTGGGATCTCGTTGTCTTTCGCGCTGTCGCTTCGAGACTGGGGACGTAGTTGCGACACTTGCCATTCGCCGAGCTCTTGAATGAATTTGGACGGATTCCAGGTTAAGATGCATCATTCAAAGTGTTGTTGGGATGGCCAGTGGTGCAACTACTTTCTTCCCCCGAATACAACGTACGGTCATTATAGCTCTATTTGGTATTCGGGGGGGGAAGAAGGTAGGCCTTTGGGGCCCTGCTGCACGGCACATGTGACGCAAAGGTGAAAACGTTCATCTTCAAAAAAAAAAAAAGACAAAAAAAAAAAACGTTTATCTCTGTGGCGTTATACAAACTAGAATTATGCATCTCTTTTGGGACATCCATGATTTTTTTAAATATTTTTTTAATGATTATTATTATTATTATTATTTTTTATAAAGCTATATTCTTCTCTCAATTTCACCTCACACTACCTACCTACTACTACTAATTGTAGGCATACGGGGCCCCGTAGCAGCCAGAACCGTGTTCACGAGAGAACATGCGGGGGCTGCTCCCGATCTGCAGGTGGGTGATACCGGCTAGGGAACAGCCGGTAGCATCAGGGACCATGCCAACAGGACCAATCCCTGTGCCTCCCCTCAGGTCCCCTCCCCTATGAACGTCAGCAGACTCTGCTAAATGCCAATCGGGGGATCCAGTGGTCTATCTCTAGGTGGCGGGCGCCAAGCATGCCCACGAAGGTACATGAGGCCAATGGGGACTGAACCCAGGACCTCCTGAATGCCACTTGCGAGCCTTACCGAGTCAGGCGGCTGGATTATCTATGATTATTATTACTACTGTTTTCTGTTTTCTTTTTAATAATTTCTACGAGTCTTTTTCGGTATGCGTGTCTTCCTTGCCCAGGGGCCATGCTTATCTTTTTCGTGAAAAGGCAAAAGACCTTCCCCCCCCGCGACGAAAGTCTTGTATCCACCTTCCCCCCCCCCCCCCCCCCCCCCCCCCCGCCTCCCCCAATTCGGTGAAAAAGGTGCCATAAAAAGGGCCCCAAATCACTTTCGGGGTCATTTTTGCCCCCTGCAAAAACACGTTCTTGCCATTTTGACCCAGCGCCCGTTACCGGCCCAGCCAGGCTGCAAAATGACTCCCAGAGTGATTTCGGGCCTGCGGCACATTTTTTCAAGGTTGGGGGGAAATGGATATATACGAAGGTCGAGGGCACGTTTTACGACTTTTTTTTTTTTTTTTTTAATCTCTTTCTTATTGCCAAAAAGAGATCTGTGAGGCCGGGGACCTCACAAATCCACCCGGAGAACCTGTTGACTTCCTCAGTCAATCAAAGCACAGATTTTTCTACAACAATACCTTGGGCAGCACCTAAGGCTATTCTGTTTCCTATGTAGCCCTGACCTCCCTATCCTACCAAGCCGACCACCCTGACTAACCCCACACCTCTCTCAGCTATACTCAGACCTATCGTGATCTGGAACTCGGACCACTGCGGCCAAGAGGAACAGAAGTTCCTACACCCGTCTCCTGACACTCTCCTTCCCACCCCCCTTGTATAGTCTACTGCGACCATAGACTGGAACTGAGTGTCCCGGCTCTTCCCCCCCACCTCCAAAGCGGTCTGAACACGAACACAGCCGCGAATCGGCGAAAAGAGTGTCCTGGTTGGAAAAGTCTACTTGTTAACTATTGCCCATATTTTAACCTTCAGCTCTGAACTCACTTGTCCTCTGGAAACTAGCAATCTGTCAAGCCTACCTCCAGGAGGCTGTAGGCTTTGTTGGGCATGTCTGTCCTACTTGTCGCCGAACTCCAGCCGTCTGCTGATAACCAAGCTCCCATCCAAGGATATAGTAAATTTTTGACAAAAGTTAGCCAGTTGACTATCGATTCGTTCAGTGATTGTTTTTTGTTGTGTTGTAGAAGTCCACAACGAGACGGACACGACTTATTCAACGCCGTTGAAGATACTCCTAGTGAAGAACTCGCTGCGAAGACTCGAGCTCGTCGTGAAAGGGGATCACTGGCACTGAGAGCCCAAGTCTTCCGGAACCAGGCAGTCCCTTCTCGATGCTTTCCGTGCTTTGCCTTTCTCGTCCAGTCTGCCGGATGGCCTTGACCACCCGTGATCTGAACAGTACCTCCGTCTGACACTCCGTTATCCCCTCCCCCCTGAACCCCAGTCCATTCCTGTCTAATCAAATGACCCATAACATCGCTGCCCTTGCGACTTGTGCCACGTAGCCCCACCCTTCTCCGATGCTCCAATTCTGTGGGAGCCCTGCCTGTAAAACCCATCTCTGATCAGTGAGCGAGTCATCACCTGTTATCCACCGCCAGTACCTCACCCAACCGCCCCACCATTTTTTGGACTTTGGGCATTCCCACCAAAGGTGATTCATGGTCTCTTGCGCCACCTGGCATCTGTCACAAGTGGAGGTAACCTCCATTCCTCTCTCCCTTAGCCACTGCGTCGTTGGAATGGTCAGGTGGGACTGGAGCCACAACAGAGAGGCCAGCTTCTGAGATGGAAGTGATTTCAATTGTGCCCGCAGTCTGGACAGCTCCACATCCTAGGTGGGGGTGAGCTCAGGCACCTCCCTAGCCCAACGTTCTGCTACTATTCTAGTGCACTGTGGGACCGACAATGCCCTTCTTTTCAATATCAGGGATGCAGAAAGCTTCTCCAACCCTCTGATTACCTCGCCTTCCACCTGCCAGCCCCAACTTGCAGGATCAATCTTCAGTTGGCTAAGCGGAGTCCCATTGCCAACCAGACAAGGGACAGGAGGTAGACCCTCCTGTGGAGGGGGTTTCATCATCACTCTGACCTCCTTGAGACCCGAAAGGCCATATTTCAGCTGAATTCCATATTTTTCTAGCCTGGGCTGATTAGGGAGCTCCCTCCTATTCGTTTCAAGCCAGCATTTGCCTATGTCGTCAGCTGTCCAACTCTCCAGCCTGCAATACCAGACTGCATCTCCGTTATCCCATTCGTACCAGGTGCCAGAAGGGTCAATCCCCTCCGGCCCCAGCAATTGCTTCCACTCCTCTGGGATAGCCTCCAAGATGGCTTGCAACCACTCTTCCTGCTGTGGTCCTCCCATAGATGTCCAACTTTCGAGATGCCTTTCTGAAGCCAGCTTTGGCCAAACGAGCCTGGTTCCCGGCAGAGTGTAAACCATCTACCGTCACGTCCTTTGGTGTACTCGTTCTCGAACAATATTTGACCGCGAACATCATCCTTGGAGATCGGGCCGATATTCAAGGAAGGTTTACATTTCCTCCAGGCCTGCAGGACCTCACTCCAAAAACGTCATTTCGGGCGTTTACGTACATGTGTCTGACATTAGCGCCACCCAGACATCAGATGGCCCGGACCGATTCCACTCATTTGCCAATAACGCTCTAGCCATCAATATCCAATCAGCTTGCTCCTCTGCCATTCCTACCCGAATCACCCACTTGGCTAAGAGTCTCGTGTTCTAAGCTGCCGGATCAATCAAGGACAGTCCTTCTCTCGGAGTGCATATGATCTCCCATGCCACTTTGGGAATGAATCCACAATCTTGATCACTTTCTGGTTTCCATAAGAACCTTCTGGCCACTTTCTTCACTGAGCTGAGCGTGGAGGGGGTAAT